CTTGGTCTACAAGCTGCAATTAAGGGTAAACTTTAAAGAGGAAAATGAAATAGAAGAGAGGTTGACCCCCTTTTGAAGTTGTAATGACATAATTTGCATGTTCAGCTCTTAAGCTTCCACCATGCCACAGTAAAATTATGTCCTTTCCAACATGGAGGAAATAGATGCATCACTACAAGAGAAAAGCAGAGGACAGGATCATGGGGCCACAGTGTAGACAGGGTACAAAGATCACGTCAACATTTGAACCTTTCATTGAAGGAGTTTTGCTTCCTGACTTGTTTCTGTGCTTTTCTCTCTGTCGACCCCATGCTGAGAATTGCCCATACCAATCAATACTTGTGAGAACTCTGAGATTTGCTTCCCCATCTCTCAAAAGACTACACCAGGGACCGGAGAGATGACTTAGTGGTTCTGAGTCCATGGCTCAAAACTGAGTGTAACTCCAGCGGCAAGTCATTCGACCCTTTCTTCTCACAGCCTCTGTACTCACGTGTGGATGTGCTCGTGCACAGATACACACATGTGCACATAATTACAAACATAAAAGAAATGTTAAATGAGTAGACTGTTAGATTTCCATCACAAGTAATTCTAAAAAATTGTGAGTTTGCTTTTTTTTTTTGACTGCTGATTGGCTGAGGACATCACTGACATTTCCTGGGCAGGTGTCAGGATACCAATGGTATGCAAATTTAGGATTAAACTTCAGAATGAAAAATTGATCCGTGCCAGATGTAGTTACAAATTTGGCAAAACCTACATATAATTATTCAAACCACAAATTTAATTCTATTTTACATGCAGACAGGTGCTTACTGCATAGTTTTAATATAGCCTAAACTTCCTAGGGGTAAGGCTTTTCAGGTTAGTTTTGTTAGGATTGTTGTGGTTTTGAGACTTTAAAATTATTTATTTATTTATTTATTTTTTATGTAGCTCAGGGTGAATTTAAACCCACAATTCTCAGAGTTTTAGAATTGTAGGCATGTGTCACCATACCCTCCCAGAGATTTTAAAAAGCTGTTTATACTGTTTTATATTGTTATGTTATAACACTGCTGGAAAGCCTTTGTTGTGAACACGGCATAAACTCATCTTAGTTTGTATTTCAGCTTATGAACAGAAATGCGATCCTCTATTTACATATAGATCTGACTATTCTACTACCTATACTAATGACATTATTCCCAAGCATTTACATACCAGAATACATTCTACTTTATACCAACCATTTTATTTGTGTCTCTTTCCTTTTTCTTTTCTTTACTTTCTTCCTTCCTTCCTTCCTTCCTTCCTTCCTTCCTTCCTTCCTTTCTTTCTTTCTTTCTTTCTTTCTTTCTTTCTTTCTTTCTTTCTTTCTATCTTTCTTTTGAGGCAGGGTTTCTCTGTGTAGCCCTGGCTGTCCTGTAACTCACTCTGTAGACCAGGCTGGCCTGGAACTCAGAAATCTGCCTGCCTCTGCCTCCCAAGTGCTGGGATTAAAGGCGTGCACCACCACTGCCCAGCATTAATTTGTATTTCTAATTCATACTTTTCTTGAAGTGTGGGCATGGGATGTGTGTGTATACATATAAACATATATATATGTATATATATACATATATATGTATATATATCTGTGTGTGTGTGTGTTTGCGTGTATACACAAGTGTGATTGTGTGTGGAAGATAGAGTTTAATATTGGGTATTTACCTCCGCCCCTCTCCATTTTAGTTTTGAGACATGGTCTGTCGCTGCTGAGCCTGAAGCTCGCTGACTCAGCAAGACTAGTTGGCCAGTAAGTCCTGGGATCCTCTTATCCCACATCCTCAGTACTGAGATGATAGATGGGTTGTGCCATGGTTGGCTTTTTATGTAGAGACTATGGACCCAAACACAGTCCCTCCGGCTTGCTTAGAGAGAACTTTATTGAGTTTCTCCCCAGACGCTCTAGTTTATATGACTCTTCAAAAATTATTTAAATTACATTTATTACTACTATTATTTTGTTTGTGGTATGTGTGTGTGTGTGCATGCGAGCACGAGTGCATGTGTGCGTGCACATGTGTGTGAGTGCATGCACATGCCACAACCACATATGGAGATTAGAGGACAACTTGTGAGACTCAGATCTCTCTACCACGTAGGGTCTTGGAATCTAACTCAGGTCATCAAGATTGGGGTAAGTGCCTTAATCCCCTGACCTATCTTGCCAGCTTGAATTTATGTATTTTCTAAGAAATTAGCTTGACCTAAGGAAATTAATGGTGTATATTGATGATACATCTTCTTTTAGGACTTAACAAAATGTTTGTTGTGAAATGGCTTGGGCTTGACAGGCTAGGGAAGCACTGTCCAAAGGTGCCAGAGCAGGCAGGGATCAGAAGCGCGGGTGACAGTAAATACCCATCACCTCACACTGCTTCCCTCTCTGATGTGAATGAAGGAAAATTACAACCATTTTAGGCCAAGGAGGGTTAAAGGGGGAGGCAGGATCTTCCGGGGTTGACCACAATGCCCCAAATGTAAGAGTTTTAATCTTTGGTTTTTTGAAACAGAAGCTTCTAAACTCATAATACCAGATGACCTGAAAGAAAATTCAAAACAAAATCCAGAACCTCTTGGGTGTCTCAGGCAATAGGGAAGGATTTCCATGTCCTGAGGAGGAGACTTCGTGTTAACCGATGTCAGGTGAGATCAAAGACAATATTCTTTCCTCCACAGACTTAACAGCATAGACACAAAGCTGCACATCCGAAGAACATGGGCCCATATTCTTTACATGGGAAGGTTTGGTTCTCTTGACATGAAATGCTCCTGCCTACAACCTAAATGGACTTCGAGAAGATCACACTTAATGAAGTAGACCAGGTACAAAGGGGGCACATACTGTCTGCATGAAAAGAGAAAGGAGCGGAAGACAGGCTTCAGGGGTGTGGCAGGAGAAGACACAATTTATTTTTAGTTTTTATTGGATTAATGAAGAGCTTCGGATGTAACAGCAGTAACGGCTGCATTATTTGTGTCCTTAATACCATTTAATGTACACTTCAAATGACTGACGGATACTATAGTATGTATAACTTATCAGAAAAAAATTATATTAAAAAAATAAATCTTGCCTCAGAATAAGACTTTAGCTTCTTAATACAAGGCTGTCGCTTGACTATGCAGACTTTAAGTTGTTTCTGTGTCCCTCTTCACACCCATTCTTCCCGCTCTGTGATACATGCCGTGAACACCCCTTTCTTGTGAGGAGAAGAAAAACAGGAAGTGTCCCGATCAAGTGACTCTCAGATCTTCAAAGGTTATTTTCAGAATGAAGCAGAAAGGACGATCTGTCTGACAAGCAGGCTGATTTCTTTGGGCAGTCAGAGGCTGTGGCAGATCACGGACCCAAGTATGCACAAGATCATCTCTCCAGTCCTTCTAGATTTCTTTTTAAATGAAAGCAATCAATCAATCAATCAAACAAACAAACAAACAAAGCAACCCTCCCCCTAAAACTTGTCACTTTTCACATACTTTTTTCTTACCAGATTTCTTTTTTTCCTACAGAGAGGATTTTTACCATTGTACATGTCAAATGAAAAAGGTATAAACTGATGCTGGGTAGGCAGTCAGCAGATAAGAACACTTGGTGCTGCTGCAGAGGACCTAGGTTTTGGTTCTCTATGTGGTGGATAACAACTGTCTATAATTCCAGTTTCAGCGAATCTGACACTCCTTCTGACCGAGGGCTCCTGCACACTCATGGTGCCAATATGCCTACTTTACCACACCCACACATGCATTTATGTTTTCTATTGTTTCCTCCTCCAGCCTGACTCTGCCTGAGGCTCCACTTCTCTGGCCCTACTTGTAACTTAAAGTCAGGGCTGCTGAGAGGTCGTGGAATAGTTTCCCTCTTCCTGCCTCCCCCTGCCTCCCAATGCCTTATGTGTGCGGGCATTTAGCCTGCCTATATCTGTGCACACATACATGCAGTGCCTGCAGAGGCCAGAAGAGGGCATCAGAGTCCCTAGTACTGGAGTTATAGATAGTTGCAAGCTGCCATGGGTGCTTGGGATGGAACCTAGGTTCTTTGAAAAAGCAGCCAGCGCTCTAAGCGGCTGGCCCATTTTCTTTAGCCCCTCATACAATATTCTTAAGTCTCTTATTTTGAGAGACAGTTGGGAATGACATTTCTGTCTTTGAAGTTTATTTACTGTGGGGATGAAAGGTGGACCATTCAGTCTCCTTGGGGAGGCAAACAGATCTGTGCCAGGTGTCACCAGAACTTCTACTGGGAACAGATCCATGACAGGTCTGGGGCCAACAGCAGGTACCTCATTCTCCAGATCATTCTGGTAGATGCAAGAGAAGCAAAACAAAACAAAACAAAAAAAAAAAAACAAACAAAAACCACCTGCCATCTCAGGGGTATAAAGCTGTATTTTTTTCTTTTTTAATTTTATGGGAAAGACAAATAATGGTCATTGTGTTTTATCAGAAAAGTTAATGAACTTTATTTCTTCAGGGTTGCAGAGAATAGTAAACACATTATGGTGCCACTCTCCCTGGAGTACACTGAGTGCTGACAGACATACTGAGCAAACATTTCTTCTTCCGGAAACATGGCACTTTATGGTGTGTGCGGGCAGAGGAGCCAGAGGAAAGAAAACCACTGAGTTTAGAACCGTGTGTGAGACTAGAAGGACAAGCGGGGTTTTGTTGTTGTTTCTTGTTTGCTTTTCATTGTAATTTTAAGAACTGTAGGAAAACTGATGTGTGGCAGCCCATGAGTCACTGAAGACTTTGTTCTGAAATGTCAAAGGGATGGATTTAGCCGTCATAGTCTCTCATGAGTGGAGACTGGCATTTGGGAGGCTCATAGAGGGTACTTCCTGGGAGGCTGTGTGAAGGTTTGAGACGACTCTGATGAGGGCAGATTGGCCTGGGCTGAGAGGCTTAACAAAGCGAGGGTAGAGCGGAAAGGTGCAGCTCTAATAGTTGATTTTCTTCTCAAACCCCTGTAGCAGCTACACAGCCTGCTCACAGAATCTAGGTCCAGTGTTACTTGGATGTAACCAACTGCCAACAGAGGGAGGAAAGACAGAACCAGCTGGTTAAAAGCCAAATCCAGGGTTTGGAAGTTGTCTCTAAGATGGCAACAAGCTCTTGGAAGCAAACAAATCAGCTCGTTTGGAGAAAGAAGTCTTATTCTCAAACACGACAGGTATAAAATACTGAGAAGGAACTTCATAGCTGTGAGAGTAAGTGGGACCATTTCCCCACCAGCCCAACCCACTGCTCAAGGTGGTAAGCCTGGCTCCCCTGTTCTAGTCACTATCAACGGAGGGTTGTACTGTTATGTTATCCTTGTGTCATTAGTAAAATTGTCCTGGACTCAGTCTGGAATCTTGCTGGACTCCATCTTGAGTGGCCTATGTGACACTGTTAGTAGAACTGGGTCTCTTGTTCTCAAGGAAGATACAAAAGAGCTGATGGGGTGGCCACGTCAACGCCTGGCTTGTGTAGGGGACCTTCCCTCACCAGGGGACACGGGAGGCCTGACCCCGGTACAAGGCCACATGGAAAAGCTGGCAAAACAGCCTGCCATCGGCAGAGTACAGGAAGCGGTTTGCGCTGTGGCTACACCGCCCATGAGTTACACAATGCGATAGGATGGAAGAAGAAGTGGTTTTCTTCCTCTTCCAAATTAAAATAGCCTTTCCTTAACGAATTAATTTCTTTAAAAAAAAGTTCAAGGTTTTTTTTTTTTTCTTCCAAGTATGAAGAATGATCTAGAGAAACTTGCCTGTTGGCTGATGAAATAAATGGCTTACTAAGGTTGGGGGAAGACATGGATACGTTGACATTTCTTTTCCCTCAGCACTGAGGGAACACAGAGACAGACAGCTTGTTTCATACTGGTCAAGAGCATGTGGCTTGCTGGTCAGGGGACAGGCCAGGGAGTCAGAAAGTCTGGGTTGTATTCCCAGCTTTGGCACCGACTCACTGGGTGACCCTGACCAGCGGCTGCACCCTCAGCATCTGTATCCAGAAAACAGGGATTTAATGACAACCCCTAGAAAGGAATGTTTGAGCAGTTTCTAGGCATATGAGGCTCTCAATATTTTGAGGTCTCAGGCAAGCAAAGAGGACAAGAATTCCAAGATGAATTTTCTTACGCAGGGAAGCATGGTTGAGAGCTTTTAGAAACAATGAGGGCAGAGAGTATGATAAATCCCCAGGACTGTTATAAACAACCTTTGATATATGGATTTAAGAACTCTCGAATCTCTGAAGTCACCTTGCCACCTCCCAAAACCTCACACTGTTGTATCTGTTGAGTTTGCTTGAAAACAATTTAAAACTACATTCCATGGCAGTCAATCATCTCTAGCCAGGAACTAAGTATTAAGGTGAAAACCTTTGGTGACATTTAACACAATGGCTTCTCTGAGGTTTGGATTAAATATTTTAAAGACTTGTAGTTGAATGTGCTGTCTCTTGTATGAACCTGAAGAAGCCACGATGTAGATTTTTTTTTCAACAGGAAGAGGACTATTTTGGATTTGAGACAAGGACACTTGTCTTTTGCCAGGTCCCACCTTCTATATGTCTCATAAGCATTTGTGTGTGCATGTGTGTGTGTGTGTGTGTGTGTGTGTGTGTGTGCGGATATGGATGATGTCATACAAATCATCACTAGGCTGATGAGTTGACCTATAAGGCTCCTGACACCAAGCCTGATAATCTACATCCAATTACCAGGACCCATATGGTGGGAGAGCGAACTGGCTCCCTCAAAATTGTACCATAGCTTGCCCCCATCCCATATGCATCATCTCTGCACACACACACACACACACACACCAGAAATAAAAGAATAATAATAATGATAATAATAAAAGTTAAAAGCCACAGTTAACAGAACAAAAGTTGGGAATAAGATTTTGATCCTGGCAAGTCCGCTCCAATGAATATGAACTTTTGGCTTACGAGTCAGTTTTTGTATCTGAGGGGTTATTCCACGTTATTTTTCCTTCCATCTATCTATCCGGCTATCATCTGTCTACATCAACTATCTACACATTGAAGTCATTTCGAGTACAAGAATCTGTGGGCAAAATAGGGAGGTGGAATTGGGACTTATTTACAGCCAAGCCATGTGGGTTGGTGGCTCCATGCTGAGTTGAGGGATGCCTATTTTGGGTTTTGGTCCAGTCATTAAAAAAAGAAGGCCTTCAACGTTTGGATGAAAGCCACTCTGTAATGCTTGCTTTGATGTGCCTTTGCTCTGTGCCTAGATACACTCTGTGGGTCCCAGTCAACTCAAGCATTCCATTCCTTAGTCTGTCTTCTTACTTAAAACTGTGTTTGTCATAGAGTTTTTTCCTTCATACAAGTAGTTTCATTTGAAGAAAACAAAACCCTGTTTAAAAAAAAAATAGTTTCAATAGTTAGGAGTTACTTTTTCTTGAGTGGTAATAGCTTTTTAAAAGAATGAAAAAAAAATCACGCTTACTTAAAAACATTACATACCATACAAAGTTTAAAGAGGTTTCATCTCGTCTGCAGTCCTAGGTACTGAGTATGGTTATACATTCAGAATTTTGTTTAACATTTTGACATGTTTCTATAAAAGTTTCTTCTGTATGTACATTTTCGTAGACTTCATATCAAGCATTATTTTTTGAAAAGGGAACATTCATTTTAAAATGGGCTTGTAGTTTATGTAGCTATATATATCCTGAAACATATGTATCATGAACACACACATAAAACTTACTGTGTAAAGACATAGATTTTTATAGCTTTCATTTTTATACATTATTCCAAATTCATGAAAAGCAACAGTCATCTTGTTGTTGATGGACATTCAGTTTTCACTTATATAAACAGCAACATATTGAATATCTCTGTACATGAATATATTCTATAAAGTTGGACATCTTAAACTAGCTGGCTATACACTTACCTTTCTTTTTTCTTTTATTTGTTTGCTTGTTTGTTTGTTTGAGACAGAGTGTCTCTGTGTAACAACCTTGAATGTCCTGGAACTCTCTCTGTGAAGCAGGCTCTGCAAACCTCACAGAGCTCTACCTGCCTCTTCCTCCCAAATGCTTGGATTAAAGGCATGAGCCACCACTACCGGGCTACACTTAAAATTTTATTATTGGTTTAATCTGTATTAGGCAAAACAAAAATCCTCAGAGGTTTTAGTTTCTTCTAGAAAACAAAGTGGTACCAGTTCCAGGACTTGTTCATGGGATTTTAAAATGCATTGTTGATGAGGTATCAGACTGAATAATGGAATAATTCTTAAAGGGATAATAATGAGCTAAAGAAAAATAGCCATTCCATCCTGCGACTGGATGAAGTAGTAGCTTAAGTCTCATGGCTAATTTATTTATTACTTAATTCATTTATCCATTCACTTATATTTTTATATTTCTATTTATTTATTTTTTGAAGACAGGTTCTTGCTATGTAGCCCAAGCTGGCTTGGAATTCACTATGCAGCCAGGCTAACCTTCAATTTTCAATCCTCCTGCCTCCGACTCTTGGAAAACTATTAATCTATTTTTTACCCATATTGACTGAGAATTATTCTTTTTCTCCTTCCATTTTAAGTTTTTAATACATTCACATAACATTTATTTTTAAATAGTGATAAGACACAGACAAACGTACAAGAAAATTGATGTGGTCGTAAAATGGCTAACCCTGAAGCACTTATATTACAACCTAATTTTAATTTACCACGGGCCCAAGAAAACGTGCTCCTGCAGGGTGAAATTAAGTTCTTCGAGAACATGTCTTTGATTTTGCTCAACCAGTTAGGGAAGAGGTCCTATTAGTTTTTGTAGCATGAGTTGATCTGCTGTGTTACACAGTGCTGGCCTGTCATTCCTGGTGACAGCACAGAGAGGGGCCCTTTGATCTCCAAAAAGTAACGGCAACAGTCAGGAGTCACTATAGATGACAGAATTCCTATCCTCTCGGACAGCCGGGGTAGCCCATAAAAAAAACCAATCCTGGGCCAGGCAGGGGCAGAACCTTCACTGAGTCATTCTCCACAGAATAAAAAGAATGGAGGGATGAGAACAAATGTCGCTCATTTCTTAAAAAAAAAAAAATCTGCTGTCATTTCCTTAAGATCCCACATCCCTTCCCAAGCTAGAAACATAAACCGAGACCTTCTGGTTCAGCTTGACTGTGTGATTCTTTTAATAAAGGAAGTCCACCCAGGCATTAGTTAATAATCACCCACAAACATTCAAATCGCCCATAATTTTCTGCGGAAGAAATAGAAGAGACAAGAGATAGAGTTCACGGAGCTGTCTCGTGACTCTGACTCTGAGGTGTTGGGCCGCTGTGTCCTAGTCACATGTTTAATGAAAAGCTGAGGAGACCATGGCTCACTGGAGACAACCCGTCAGTGCAGCGATCAGTGGTTTATGATGGAAAAATGATTGTGAGTGGGAGCAGAACTGGCTGCTGTAGCACTATTGTGAGGGCTGTAGTAGTGATTGTCGCTCCCTGTCTCCACTTCCTCTCCTACCCTCTGCCTGCACCAGAGCCCAGCTTTCCGGGGCACCCAGAGAGCGTAAATTACCGCCAGAAGCGTTGCTAGGGAAAGAACACACTTTCCTGAGCTACAGTCTCAGCTTCTGGAAAATCTTTTTTTTTTCTTGATTAATATATTTCAACTACCAATATAAGACTAAGAAAGAACGCATAAACTCAGTTTACCTCGAATGAAAAAAAAAATACTGAGGCACAGGCTTACTGTGTAGTCAAGGCTAGCCTAGAACACGTGAGTTCCCAGCTGCATTTTTCCTAATGCTGAGGTGTGCCACTATGCCCAGCCTCTTGGGCAGACTTTTCATTCTCTTTAAATTTATTTATTTTTAATTTAATATACAAAGTACTAGACACCCATTACAGTAGTTTTCAACAAAGTGTGTTTTAATATATTCTGTCCACCATGCAGACTTTGAATGCCCTGTTCCTCTTTGTTTCCACAGCTTCAAGTCTGAGGCAGTCATGTACTGAGGTTAGCTAGATTTGACTTACATATGAGAATTAAGGGCCCTAGAAACTTTTGCCAAACTTTGAATCTGAGGCTGCACTTGGTCATTGGTTCATTTGAGCGTCAGGACACCCTGGGTAGTTGGCCTCTGTCACCCGTTATACCATCTGTTATCAATTAATGCATGTGGAATGGATTTTTATTTTCCTCCAATATACATAAAGAACTATCTTGTCTTCTTAAAATTACTTTTTTCTTCCTCATGATGTTTGTGGTCTATTCAATTTTAAAGACTACACTATACACTGTATACACTCATCTATTCATTCGTTCTGGCTTGTGTTTATGTGTGTATATGATGTATATGTGTGTTTACAGTGCATGTGTGTGAGTGAGTGTGAGCGCCTCTGGAGGTCTGGGGACAATATTTGGCATTGGTTCCCACCATTCATGGTGTTTAAGGTATGCTCTCATTTTTTGATGTCTATCATCTTACGTATTGGGCTAGTTGACCGGTGAATTTCTGGGGATTCTCCTGTCTCTGCCTCCCACCTCACCACAGGACACTAGCATTACAAACATGCAGTGCCTTGCTTCATTTTCCACGGATTCTGGGCATCCATGGAAACATGACTCTTCACTCTTTTGGGAGAGTACTTTACCCATTGCGCCATCTCCCCACCTCAGTAATGAAAATTTTA